CCCCTCTGTCTCTCTTTCTCTCTCCTTCTCTCTATTTTTCTTTCTCTCTTTTCTCTCTTTCCTTCTTTCTCTCTCCCGTTCTTTCTCTCTTTCTCCCCCTCCATCTCTCTGTTTTTCTGTATTTCGTTCGTTCTTTTGTTTCTCTCTTCCTTCCTTCCTTTCTTTATTTCCTCCACCATCGTTGTGCAGTAGTTGCAGACAGGCGACTTGAGTCACCGCGCAAAGTGTTCTCCCCAGTCAAAGAACGAAGTAAGAGTATGAGAGCAAGTATTAAAAAAAGAACATAGAAGACATCACCTGGACCAAAAAACCCCACATCGTAGCACCAAACTTGATATTGAAATATCGTCCCTTCTCCTTCCTCCACAACTACAACTGTCTAGCGCGGAATCTGTGTGTGCGGGAAAGTTGAAGAGTTTCCACAAATAGGGGTAATAAATACGTTCCGCAATATAACACTTTTTAGATTTTATTCATGAAATATGCTCCACGTGTTTTTGATTCATTTGAAAACAAAATTTTAATGTGTTTGCGAGGCTCTTGTTGAACAAGGCCCTAACACTTTTCTGAGCAACGAAGAGCATGGAAGTGTAAAAGAAAGTGGAAATGCTCTGCCGTCTAAACGTATAAATTTGACGATTTTTTTTTCTTATCACCCCCCCCCCCCCCCCCCCCCCCACTCCTCTCACCTCTCTCCTGTTGGGAGCATTTTTTTGGTCTCCATAGTGAATTTGGACGTGTACAAAAGTACATATGCACCGTCTGAGTCTGTGTCTGTCCCTGAGGCTGAGACTGGTTGTGTGTGTGTGTGTGTGTCTGTGTTTGTATGTGTATGTGTGTGTATATGTGTGTTTGTGTTTGTTTGTGTGTATTTGTGTGTGGGTGCGTATGTGTGTGCGTCTGCGAGTGTATGTGTGTACGTTTGTGTATTTATTGTGTGTGTGAGTATGAGTATGAGTATGTGCATGTGAGTGTAAGTTTGTGTGTGTGTGTGTGTATGTGTGTGTGCGTGTGTGTGTGGGTGAGTGTGTGTGTGTGTGTGTGTGTGTTTGTAGGTGTGTGTGTGTGTGTGTGTGTGTGTGTGTGTGTGTGTGTGTGCGTGCGTCTAAGGGGGGAGAGTCTACTTAAGCAAATAATCACTGCTTCCTTTTTATAGCTTGGGAATGTCGACGCGGCCACATTAATTACACACATATACACATATGCCTTGTAAATGTCCGTGAACATCCCCAATGAGCAGCGTGAACGCCACTCGATAATAATATGTTCCATTACCACTTATATTATATACATGTACCTTCCTCCCCCCTATTCTCATAAGCAGTCACAAGCACTTATTTTTTAAAGCTTATATGAAATTGGTCGAATCTATCTAAAATAGGTCAGGGATACTAATTCCGGGTAAGCTCATGGCATGTAAGGGTGTATATCCTTTTCTTCGACTGTGTACTAAACTATAAGGTAATCAGGTCATGGCTTGATTCTGGAATGGACTCAGGGCCATGCACAGCTAGATCGGGACAGCCAAATTTTATATATATGGAACCAAATTGTTAATTAGTAGTGTCATATTTCCTTCTTGGCTTTCTTTTGTGTATTCAGATTTTCAGTTTATTAACTGACAATAATAATCTTAAGAACATTACGCCTAATGCAGGTTTTAAAGTAATATTTGCGTTTTGCTCAAAGTAGGAATAAATAGGAAATGATATATTTTCTGAATTATTTTGACTGTTTTAGTTTTAGTAAGTGTTTTACGGCACTTGCAACACAATAAGGTCATATAAGTGCCGAAGATTAGAGGTGTTACAAGTGAGTAACAAACACAAAAAAAGGAGGAGGGGAGATAAAGACGACAGATGTTTGATAGGAAAGAAGGAGCAAACCACACCAGAGCACCCGCCAACCACCCACTATTTTGACTGGTGTACCTAGGTATTCAAGATTGGTTGCCATTCATAAATCAATAATGGCGTCCCGAAAAAGCAATGTTAATTACGTCCCAATTGTGGGAGAGCTTTCCATGACGTGTGGCTTCACCTCTATCTGGCTCTTTGTCTCACTTTGATTCTCATGTAAAACAAGTCAGCCTTCTCCTCCGTGTGTGTGTGTGTGTGTATGTTTGTTTGTGTGTGTGTGTGTCTGTGTATGTTTGTTTGTGTGTGTGTGTGTGTCTGTGTATGTTTGTGTTTGTCTGTGTGTGTTTATGTGAATTTGTATATGTATGTGCGGTGTATATGTGTACGTATGTGTGTGTGTGTGTGTGT